CATGTGCAGAAATATGAGTGGACGTATCTTAGAGGACTAAACAGACAATAATCATTTGATTAGAAGTGTCACAAGTGTACCTTTCTTCTTTATTTGTTGACAGTAATTGGAGAATTATTACATGAGAGAAAGGAACACTTTAATTTCTCCTCTGATAACCTCCCAGGCACAGGGGCTGTATTCCTTTTCCTTCAGATAGAGATGGATTCTTTGGAAATATTTTGGGACAATTCTCAAATATGGACAGTCCAGATTGTCACTTTCCACTTGCTTATGCAGTAGTTCCAAGGTGTGATCAAGGCTAGAGAGTAGTTTATGGAGTAGGGTGTTGTTCCAAGCAGCTTGGCTTTCTTCCTTGTTGAAGAGGTTACCATCTGCTGGAGCGTCAGATGGTGGTAGCCGGTGCCTTGAGTCGTCAGGATTTCTGTGATATTCCCTCTTTTCCAAGGAAATTTGAAGTCGGTTCTGTCCTCTAGGCATGACTGAAACGGGATCTTCTTCATCTGTCTCAAAAGTATGAAGAGTTCCCTGTTCTGTAGGCTCTGGATCCAAGGCAAGTTCCAGCCAAGAGGGCGAGCAGGGATGGAGCAGAGTATCACTCCTGCCACTAGGAAGTAGACCTGGGCTATTGAGAATTTCAGTGATTCACGAGATGGCCGCGAGGGGCCGCGCGGGCACCAGTAAATAATTAGCGGGAAGGTTCCTTCCCTGGAACCCGGGACAGCGCGCTTCTCTAGGCGGCGGCTAATGGGCGCCGGATGTCTTTTGATGGGTTCGGCTAGGGAAACGCTGACTTATGAGCGTTTGCACTTTACGCGGTTTGGGCAGCGCGAGAGAAAGTTGAGTTACATCCTCACGGAGCAACATTATACTGATTTAATAGTGAGAAAAAAACTTTTGTCTTTGCGATGCTGAGTTCTCAAGTGGGAGGCTTGTCGTGGCCGCGCTAGCGACAATTTTGTCTGGTTGGAAGCTGGAACCTTGCGTTTTCGGGCTTTCCCCTGAGTTTTGTGCTTTATTTTCGCACAGAAACTTGAGCGAGGCCATTTTTGGGAAAGAAGCCGTTTTCTGAGGGGTTTGAAGCTGGGAAGCGAGTTGGGGCCGATTTTACAGATTCGGGCTCGTTTCTGGCGCTATGCTGCGACGGCTCAGAGAAAGGGGAACGCGGCAGCGGCGATGGGACGCCCGGACGGTGTTGGGGACGCCCTGGGGGTGAGTCGGAGTGCGGCCACCACCGGGGCCGAGGACGCGGGAGCTGAGTGCCCCTGTAGATGCTCTGGGACTTCATGGTGTCTTTCAAGGATACAGCGTTAACGTGGGGGAGGAAGTACTGAATAACTGAAAGGTAGGAACATTTAAAAACTCACAGGGTGCTTCCCTGGTGGCGCAGGGGTTGAGAGTCCGTCTGCCGATGCAGGGGACACGGGTTCGTGCCCCGGTCCGGGAGGATCCCACGTGTCGCGGAGCAGCTGGGCCCGTGAGCCATGGCCGCAAGGCCTGCGCGTCTGGAGCCTTTGCTCCGCAACGGGAGAGGCCATAGTAGTGAGAGGCCCGCCTACCGCAGAAAGAAAAAAAAAAAAAACACAGCATTTTATTTTTTATATTTTTAAATTAAACTTATATTGCTTGATTTAAATTAAATATTTTAGGATTTTTTATATTTTAAGATATTTTCTGAAAATATTTAAATCTTGAAGGTAGGATATTAAAATATATGGGTATTAAAACAGCATTTTATTACACTATTTAAAGTATAGTTTCTTTATACTAAAACAAGAATTTAATATAATTTTACTTTCCTAGCTTTAATGGAAGCAAACTCATTAATATTTTCAAGACTACTTCTTTACCTGTTTGAGAGAACTGCAGTGTTTGACAAGTTCTTGTGACGCTGTGACAGTCTTAAATAATTTTTATTTAACTCGAGTTTCTGAAACCCCTTTCTCAGAACTCCAGCTTGACTGTAGTGTAGAAAGAAGAGTTATTAGTGTCCTGTACAAGCAGCTGAGGACATTTACCAGGTCTGATCTTCTCATTTTCTCTGGTAAGAATTTTATAGACTAAACAGAAATTACCCAAATT